GAGCTCATGGCTGAGAAGGACCTGGAAGCTGGGCCTTTTGGCCATGGTTTGGGGAAATGCCACCCCTCCAAGCCTCAGCTCCTGGTGGGTGCATGCGGCCAATCCCCGTTCCACCACTGACCAAGGACACATGAGTTGCCATCCACTTCCCCTGCCGCGCCTGAGGCCTGATCTGTGAAGAAGGCTGTGCTTGTCTGGTGGAAAAGTTCCAGGGGCCTGAGGTTGGGAGGATGTGGGGAGCCGTGGCCATGTCCCTGAACTGCCCCTCCCATCTGTGGCCTTTCTCTTCCCCCCAGCTGCTGTCTACTCCCCTCCCTGCCCCCAGGATTCTGCTGAGAGCAAAGCCCTTCCCCTGCCCCCAGACCTCACCACCTGCTGCTGGGCACAATCCTCGCTTTGTGTGGTCTGGCAGTTGTCATGCAGCTGCCCCCCACTGGAGGCCTCTCATGGAGGGGGCTCCCATCCCAAGGCAGCCTGACCCAGTGTGGGAGGGCCAGGCCCAGAGCCAGGTGCTGGGAAGGCGGAAGTGACCGGGGCCTTGTCCCGAGACCCATCCCTGCATGTGTCCCACACTCCATAGAACTTGCTCGGCCAGGAGGGGAGAGGTCACTGGAGACTGGGGTGAGGGCCCTGTGTGATAGGCCAAGCGGCCTTTGGAGACTCAGTGCAGGCACTGGCAGCGGTGTTGGATCGGCCCTGTTGCCTTCTGTGTCTGGCAGGGGCATTTTGCTGGGCAGCCTGCATGCCAGGCCAGGTCGGGGGAGCCATGGGTCAGGGAGGGTGGGTGGGTGGCGGCTAAGAAGGGGCCTGTAGGGCAGCGTAGCAGGGTGGAAGCAGAAGAAGAGGGAAGGTTAGAAAAGATGCAGCTTGGGGGGCCCTGGCTGACCTGCAGACACGGGGCTACACGCAGACACTTCCCTCCATTCGGCTTTCTCAGGGTTTTACGTGCAGGACACCTGCTGGCCTGTTTTCTAGACACATCCCACCTGAGCACACAGTTGGAGGTGGGCCCTCAAGACCTGGGGGCCTGCCCCCCATTCCTGTCCTCTGTGCCTCCCCTGTCCCCTGCCCTCTCATTTCTTACTTCTTCCCCTTGGGTCCACGGGGGTCCCCTTCCCTCCTGTGCTTACTGGGACCACCCCGAGCCCTGGTGTGGCTGGGACCGAATACCCAGGGACACAGGGAGCTGCTCTGTAGCTTGCTGTGAATTATTCATCAAGAATTGAAGCCTTTCTGCCACCTGAGCTAATTTGTAGGTCCCAATACTCCTTGGAAGACAGAATGGATCAAGTAGGACCTATTTGATTGGGCTCAAGAGGCCCGTTGTTGTGTCATGGAGGGGTTTTGCGAATAAGGCCAAGGTCCTACCCTCTGTCTTGAATTGCCCTGGCCTTCGGCCCCTCTGTCTGAGTTTTCCCGAATTAAGGTGCCTCCCCCTTCACCAGTCCTCTGAGCCTCTTTAGGAGGACATCTTATCTGCGGTGCGTGAGAGGCTTCCCCAAGGCTTGGGACACACAGTAACCTGGAGGGAAGAGGTGGCACCAAGGCAGGAGCATCAGCATCCACCCATCCATCCATCCATCCACCCATCTACCAACCCACCCATCCACCCATCCATCCATTCATCCACCCATCCACCTATCCATCCATCCATCCATCCATCCATCCATCCATCCATCCATCCATCCTCGTCCACCCATCCATCTATCCACCCACCTATCCATCCATCCATCCATCCATCCATCCGTCCATCCATCTATCCACCCATCCGTCCGTCCATCCATCCGTCCATCTATCCATCCGCATCCACCCATCCACCCATCCATGCATCCACCCATCCACCCATCTATCCATCCATCCATCCACCCATCCACCCATCTATCCATCCATCCATCCATCCATCCATCCACCCACCCATCCATCCATCCACCCATCCATCCATCCACC